GGGCGGTGGGTACAGTATAGAAAAGTGTATAGCAGGGGCCTGGGGGTGCGTGCGGTATAGAAAAGTGTATAGCAGCGGCCTGGGGGTGCGTGCGGTATAGAAAAGTGTATAGCAGGGGACAGGGGGTGACTACAGTATAGAAAAGTGTATAGCAGGGGCCTGGGAGTGGGTACAGTATAGAGGGGAAGAGTATAGTGGGGGACTGGGGGTGGGTACAGTATAGAGAGGTAGAAGTATAGTAGGGGACCAGGCATGGGTGCCGTATAGAGGGGAGCAGTATAGTAGGAGCAGTATAGAGGGGGCCTGGGTACAGTATGGAGGGGAAGGGGACTGGGGGTGGGCACAGGGATAGGTACAGTATAGCAGGGCAGCAGTATAGTAGGGGACATAGCATAGGGTACAGTATAGGGAGCTGTAAAGCAGGGGAGCAGGGACCGGTGTAGTATAGCAGGGGACCTGGGATTGGGTACAGTATAGAGGGAGAGCAGTATAGCAGGGGACCGGGGCTGAGCCCCATATAGCAGGGGACCAGTATAGCACCTGGGGACGGGCATGGCGCCCCAGAGGTGCTATAGAGGGGTCTGGGTGCTACGTGTCCCGGGTTGACGGGGCGGACAGTGCCGGTGCTCCCCACCACCGCAGCTGGGGTCTGCCCCGTCCCATCCCACCCCACGTCCCCGTGGGGCAGCAGTGTGGGGGGAAGGCACAAGGTGGGTCTGCCTGGGTTTGGGGGGGGGGGGGCGCGTATGTGTGTGTGACGGCACTGTCCCCGCAGGCCTTCGCAATGCCCCACGCTGCTGGGACGTCATCCAGCCCCTGCTCTGCGCCGTCTACATGCCCAAGTGCGAGGACGGCCAGGTGGAGCTGCCCAGCCAGACCCTCTGCCAGGCCACCCGTGCGCCCTGTACCATCGTGGAGCGTGAGCGTGGCTGGCCCGACTTCCTCAAGTGCACGCCTGACCGCTTCCCTGAGGGATGCCCGGTACGGGGAGGGGGGGCGCACATAGAGGGAGACCCCACCATGCTGCCACGGGCTCCAAATCCCCATGGGGCAGTGGGAGCAGGGAAACGGTGGCTGTCCCCAGTCCTCCATGGGGGACTGATGTCCACCCCGGCAGCGCAGCCTTCGCCGTGGGGATGCCTCCTCCTCCTCACGGCATTGCTTCTCCTCCGGCAGAATGAGGTGCAGAACATCAAGTTCAACAGCTCGGGGCAGTGCGAGGCGCCGCTGGTGCGGACGGACAACCCCAAGAGTTGGTACGAGGATGTGGAGGGTTGTGGCATCCAGTGCCAGAATCCGCTTTTCACCGAGAAGGAGCACCGTGAGATGCACGTCTACATTGCTGCCTTCAGCTCCGTCACCATCTTCTGTACCTTCTTCACCCTGGTGAGATGCGGGGGGACGCAGGGAGGTGTCCCCAAAAGGGGACCGGGCACCAAGCTGTCCCTTTCTCTGCCCCCTGTCAGGCCACATTCGTTGCCGACTGGAGGAACTCCAACCGTTACCCCGCTGTCATCCTCTTCTACGTCAACGCCTGCTTCTTCGTGGGCAGCATCGGCTGGTTGGCACAGTTCATGGATGGCGCCCGTGACGAGATCGTGTGCCGGGCCGATGGCACCATGCGGCTGGGGGAACCCACGTACGTGTTACTTTTGTCCCCATCCCACCATAGCCACATGCCAAGAGGTGTCCCTGGGACCAAGGAGGGCTCTTGGGGTTTCCTGGCCTCTTGGGAGCATGGAGGATGCTCCATGGGGTAGGAGAGACACCATTCCTCCTCTGTGACCCCTCAGGAGGTGACCCTCCTGTCTCACCTCCCCCTGTAGCTCCAATGAGACACTCTCCTGTGTCATCATCTTCGTCATCGTCTACTACTCGCTGATGTCGGGTGTCATCTGGTTCGTCATGCTGACCTACGCCTGGCACACCTCCTTCAAGGCGCTGGGTACTACCTACCAGCCACTGCTGGGCAAGACTTCCTACTTCCACCTCATCACCTGGTCCATCCCCTTCGTCCTCACTGTAGCCATCCTGGCTGTGGCGCAGGTAACGGGACCATGATCCCATGTCCTGGCGGTTCCCTGCCAGGGTGATGTGCGTAGGGAGGGGTGGCCGCAGCCAACCGAACCCCCCGTCCCCATCTCTACCAGGTGGATGGTGACTCCGTCAGCGGCATCTGCTTCGTGGGGTACAAGAACTACCGCTACCGGGCTGGCTTTGTCCTGGCTCCCATTGGGCTCGTCCTCATCGTGGGGGGCTATTTCCTCATCCGGGGTAGGTTTGGGCTCACCCCGGTGTGGGGACGGGGGCATTGTGGGTGTCCCCCCTGCCCTGACCACTTCATCTCTCCACTGCAGGTGTCATGACGCTCTTCTCCATCAAGAGCAACCACCCCGGGCTGCTGAGTGAGAAGGCGGCCAGCAAGATCAACGAGACCATGCTGCGGCTGGGTAAGCAGGGCTCCATCGGCACCGTTTCCATGGGAATTTGGGTGGGACTGGGGACGTTTTGTCCCCTGAACCCAGACAGCCCCATCCCACCTTCCTAGGGGTGGCTGCAGTGGGGGACAAAGCTGTAGTGACAGCAGCACGGCCCCGGTGCAGCGTCTTTGTCCCAGTGTTGCTGGCGTCTAGCTAAACCAGGGATGTTCCACTTGTCTTCCAGGCATCTTCGGCTTCTTGGCCTTCGGCTTCGTCTTCATCACTTTTGGCTGCCACTTCTATGACTTCTTCAACCAGGCGGAGTGGGAGCGCAGCTTTCGGGAATACGTCCTGTGAGTGGGATGGGGACAGGAGGGCGAGTGGGACACTCGTGGCATCCCAGCACCTCAAGTTTAGCAGGGGACATTGCAGAGTGGAGAGCCCCGTGTCCCCCACCAGCGTTGCCACCATATCTCCACTCTGCAGAGCTGTGGGGTGTCGCTGGGTGTCCCCTTCCTTATGGCCACCGTCCTGTGTCTGTCCCCGCAGGTGCGAGGCCAACGTGACCATTGCCACGCAGACCAACAAGCCCATCCCGGACTGCGAGATCAAGAACCGGCCGAGCTTGCTGGTGGAGAAGATCAACCTCTTCGCCATGTTCGGCACTGGGGTCTCCATGAGCACCTGGGTCTGGACCAAGGCCACCCTGCTCATCTGGAAGCGCACCTGGTGCAGGTGGGACCCCGGGGATGTCACCCATCTTTGTGTGACCCTTTCTGCCCCTTCCAACGTCCTGAGGTGTTGGAGGTCATCCCCAGATTTTTGTCCGTCAGCTCAATGAGTTGTGGGCTCGCAGCAGACAGTGGTTTGGGAATGGGGTGGCCTCTCCCACTTTGCAGGTGTCTCGTGTCCTGTTTGTGGGACACCTCTATCCCCGGAGACCCATCCAACGCAGTCCACAGCCCTTGGTGTCTCTGTCCAGAGTGGAAGAGGGAGACGGGGAGGGTCCCTGTGCCCCCAGCTCCAATGCCTGGGGTTTTGTGTCTCCTGTGCCTGGGCTACCCCGTGTCCCTGCTCTGACCCACCGTGTCCCCAGGCTGACGGGGCAGAGTGACGACCAGCCCAAGAGGATCAAGAAGAGCAAGATGATCGCGAAGGCCTTCTCCAAGCGCAAGGAGCTGCTGCGTGACCCGGGCCAGGAGTTGTCCTTCAGCATGCACACTGTCTCGCACGACGGCCCCGTGGGTACGTGCCCGTGAGAGGTGGCCACCTCAGCAGCACCCTGGGGTCCCCACTGTCCCCTCCGCCTTGACTGGGCTGCCCTGTTGTCGTTGCAGCCGGTTTAGCATTCGACATCAACGAGCCGTCGGCCGACGTGTCCTCAGCGTGGGCCCAGCATGTCACCAAGATGGTGGCCAGGAGAGGAGCTATTCTTCCCCAGGACATCTCTGTGACACCCGTGGCGACGCCTGGCAAGTCCTTGGGGACCACATGGGGCATCTCTGCGGGGGGACAAGCCAGACTGAGGGGTGTTGGGGATGTGCAGGGAGGCAGAGCTGGGGGGGGCTGGGGCTGGCGGGGGGGCACAGGGCAGGATGAGGCCGTTCTCACCCATCCCATGTCCTGCAGTGCCGCCAGAGGAGAGGGCCAATCTCTGGGTGGTGGAGGCTGACGTCTCCCCCGAGCTGCAGAAGCGCAGCAGCCGCAAGAAGAAGCGGAGGAAGAAGAAGAAGGAGGTGTGCCCAGGCACCGAGCACTGCCTGGGGGGTTCTGCAGCCCCCCTGGCCCCCAGCGCCGTCCCTCGCCTGCCCCGGCTGCCCCCCCAGCCCTGCCTGGTTGCCTTCGCCCCTGACATCCTCCCAGGGCTCCCGCCCGGCCAGTCTGAAGCCACCTTCACTGGGGGGCCGTGGGATGGCTGCCGCAGACCCAATGTCTTCCACCTCATCAGCAACCCTTTCTGCCCCGAGAGCGGGTCCCCCGACGAGGAGAGCCCCGGCCCCAGCAGCGGGTGCCGGCAGCACAACGGGGGTCCGCTCTGGCCCCCTGACCCCGGCACCCTGCCCAGGACTCAGGGCCGACGGGCCGGCTTGGCCCCCATCCACTCTCGGACCAACCTGGTGGACGCGGAGCTGCTGGACGCTGATTCAGACTTTTAAGCTTGGCGGGATGTTGCAAGGGGACAGGGACACCTGGGGTGAGACCCAAAGACTCGTCCAGCATGGGCAGCCTGTGAGGGGTCACCGAAGCCCACCCCGTCCTGCCGAGGCCGGTCCCGAGCATCTCTCCGGCCCAGCCACGGCTGATTTCTCCCCTCGGAGGACAGCATTTCTCCCCACATCGCCCAGACAGACTCGATGCACATCCCAGCCTGGCAAGACACTGGCAGAAGGGTTTTGGGGTGTCCCCCCGCCACCAGCATTGCTGGGAGAAGAGAAATGGGATGTCGGTGGAACAGACCCCACCCAGGTCCTGCAGGGATTGAAGGAGAAGGGGGACATTGCCACCGACAGGGACGGGAGTGGGTGGCCCCCCCAGGACAGCGGTACCAGGCAGCGGGCGAGTGTAGGTCAGGGTAGATTTTGGTGAGCTTTGTCCCACGTCCCAGGGTGCTGGGACCTGCTGACACCCCTCGCTCGCCCTCTGCCCCCAACCACGGCTAGATGGTACGTAGAGCTTACAAACACTTGTGCCAGTAGGGTTTGTTTGTTGTTTTTTTTTTTTAATTTTTTAATCTTTGTATAATACACGAGATGTGATGGCCAGGCATGGCCTCCGCTCGGGTGCTGCGGCCGACAGCGGGATGAGCTGACCTCCCCCTCCCTCAGCGGCAGCAGCACCCCTGGGGTGCACCCGTTTTTCTGGGTGCAACCCTATTTCTTCAGGGGTCCCAAAGTGCCTTCCAGCTCCCCAGAGAGCTGAACCAGACCCAAAACAGAGGGTTGGTGGGACAGCAGTCTCTGGCCACGGGAGATGGGGAGCTGCATTGGGGTGCACGGGTGCTCCCCGAGCCACGATGCGAAAACAAAAAAAGAAACTTTATAATCCCAGGGCATGCAAGGTGAGCCGTGGTTGCCTTTGCTGTCTAGGTGCACCAACCCCCTGAGCAAAGCTTTTTATTATTTTTATTAAGAAAAACCCCCAAGTTACAGCGAACCCGGCCGAGCTCCGAGGCAGGAGGTCTCCAGTCCCTGCTGGTGTTTTGTATCTGTCCATTATCCCTGTACGTGTTTTTATTAAATCCTGGTAGGCTCCTGGCTTTCTTGCTATCCCGGTGACCTCCACGGGTTAATTTTTGCTGTGTAAAGGAAAACCCTCCTGTATCAGTATTAAATTTGCCAAGTTTCCATTGCCAGCGTCTGCCCTGGGCTCTTTGGGGAGGTATCGACTGTGGGGAAACGTTCTGGGGTTTTGTCCTTTCTCTTAAAGGGCTCCAACTGCTTTAAAAACTGCTTTAAACTGTTTAAAGACCCCCATCCCAGCTGTTTCACCCGCAGAAGGCAGGTGTGAGGGGATGGAAACGCCTGTGGCTGCTATGGGGTCTGTTTGGGGGGACATTCACTGGGCTTTGGCAGCAAAGTGGGGGGGGTTGGGGGGGCCCTTTGCCAGCAGATGGCACTACGGGCTTAAATATCCCCAAACCCACAGTTGGGTGGCCCCAATTTTGGGGTGCTGCTGGGTGCCTCAGCTGGAGTGGAGTCTGTAGGGTGCAGGGGCACCCGCTGCTTCCCTCAGCACCAGGCGATGGGCTGTGCGGACAGTGCTTTTGGGGACAAAACACTGCTTTTAGAAAGTGTCTTTTTTTTTTATTTCGCTTGGGGGCGAGGCATCCGTGTGTTCGGTTATCCCGGAGACCAAGCACCCCTCTGAAATTTGGGTGGAATTGGCCAGTGAAAATTGCCTTGTTCTGATGGTTTTTGGTGAGCAGGATGGGCCAACCCTACTCTGCTGCCATCGCAGGGCTCTGCACTGGTGCAGGTGGGCAGCAGGAAACTGGAGTAAAGGCTGGTTTGTCTGGGGTGAAACAGAATGTTTCTCTATATTAATTTTATTTTTGTAGGCTTCTTTTTTTCTCCTAATTTTATTTTTGTGGGCTTCTTTTTTTAAAAGAAAAATGCATTGAAGCAGCTGTTCCTAAATGATATGTTGTTTTGGAACAAAAAGCTAAAATACTTAATTTTGGAAACAACGGGAGCCATCCTGACCCCACCACAGCCCCTATGTTTTCCCCCAGGCACCAAAAAAGGCCCCTCGATTTGGCACACAGGGACAAAGAAGTGTTTTTTTAAGGAAGAAAAAAGCACTTATCTTGGGAAGCACCACGTTTTCCTCACAAAGGTGCTCAGAAGATGGAACCAGCTCTTTGCTCTAGTGGGAAAAATGAGAAGCAACCACCCAAACCCACCATTTAAACAGGGTTATGATTAAATCATCCTGGTTAAAAGGGACAAATTCAGCCCAACTTCTCACGCCTGCTGTGCCCGGAGCATCCTGCCCTGGCACTGGTCCGGGAGCACTGAGCATCCCCACCCAAAAGTGGCCGGTGGTCCCACTTAGCACCATGGGTGCTCGTAGCATACGCTGCTCGGGATCAGGTTCCACAGGGGAGTAAGAATTAAGAATAAGAAGGCAGGGAGGTGCTTTTGCCACTGTTTCGGCTCCAGGGGATTTTTCTCCAGCTGTGGGACTGGGTTGGGGACGGGTAGCGCAGCAGCTGCCAGCCGCCACCGTGGGTTTCCCTGACCCATGCAGCTCATCGGGAAACCACAGCCAGGAAACCACTAATGTGAGCAGCAAAAGCCGTGCGGTTGCCCGCAGCAGTGCTAACACCCGTGACGTGGGTTAGGGGAAGGGACCGGAGACCCCCGGGGTGGCCAAGCCAGCTCCGACGGAGGAGATCTCTCCCCCGGGGCAGTTTTATTAGGGACAGGGACAAGGCTGGACAAGGGTCCCCTCCATCCTCAGCACCCTCACACTGGAGTTCGGGCCGCTGCTTCTCCCCATGCTGCGTCCCCTGAACCTTTCCCCAAGAGCATCTTCTCTCTCTAACTCCTTCAGCATTGGGGAAGGTCACTGGCTAGTTTTAAGGTCCCGAGGGACAAATCTCCTCCCTTGAGTGACCCAAATGTCACCCACTCAGCTCCTTGGCTGGCAAAACCCAATTAATTTCCCCAGCTGTACATCGAGTATCCTCAGGAAAGAAAGGGAAGAGCTCAAATGGTCACACGTAAATAACATCCTCTTATTTATTATTCTTTTCCCTTTCGGTGAGGAGCAATATTGCAGGCTCCACTTTACATTACAAAGGAGCAAAGAGCCCTTCCTCTTCCCCCTGCCTGCCCTCCCATTGTGAAACGGCTTTAATATCTTCCAGTTATTCTTTTAAGCCCATTTCCTAAGGAAACGAGGCTCATACGATTACATGCCTATGCATGTGTCTGTCTGTCTGTCCGTCAGGCATCCCCCCGGCAGAGTACTCAGCTGAGCTCAGCAGAAAGGCTGCAGACTTGCAGGTAAAGATTGTAAAGATTTCATGAAAACTGAGCGCAAGGAGAGGAATTCCACACATGCATGCACCCCTATCCCGCTGTTCTGAGTTTAAGTGGGTTTTGGGAGGCGCAGGAGATAAAAATGTGGAGGGTCACACTTCTCCCTGAACACCCCTGAGAGTGTTCATCAGGGCAAGGCAGGGAGGTTTCAAGGAATCTGGATAATATTCACTATGAATACACTTAACCGCTCGCCCCCGGGGACAAATGTCGGCACTATCTGGCCATCTGGTTGCCTTTGCCATAATTAAATGAATGAAAACTACGACAGCGCAGGCCGGTCGCAGGGACTTTGCCAGAACAAATCAATAGCTGCAGTAAAAACGGATTGCTCATATCAAATGTCCAAATGCCATGAGGCAGGGGTAGGCTGAATCATCTTAAAAATCATATGTGTTGTACAGGAGGTACAATTAGAAGATCTAGTATTATAGGGTGGTATCGACTGCTAGTTTGGGATTATATATATCTCAGCAAGATGACTACTGTGTCTGTCGGCTTACAGTAGGGTATCAGAGTCTTAAAGAATTGAAAAACTTCCATATAAATCTCTTTTTTTTTTCTCTTTTCTTCACGTCTGGAAGGCTCAGCCTGTGTAGCCGTGCTGGGTGAAGCTCCCCTGCTCTGCCCCTGGATCACTGCGTGCCGCGGGGCTGTACAGCAGCCTGTACCATCCCTGTTAACAGAGGCTCGGCTGCTTTTAATTGGGATCAGGGAGGTGAAGAGCATCCACGCCGAGCAGTCTTGCCCTCCATCACTAACCCCAGCACACACTTGGCTGCTGGCTTGATTTTCCAGTGCTGCTTTTAAGACTGAACATCACAGGAACGGGCAAATCCAGCCTGTGAAAGTGACAGGGGCTCTGCTGACCCAGTAACCGGCCCGGTCTCCTCCTAGGCAGGCGTCCGGCATCACCGCACAATGCCAGCCGTTCCCCACGGTGCAGTGTAGTCAGATGGAGGATTTCAGGGCAATATGGCAATTCACAAGCCGAATGGCTCAGCCACGCTCCATTTTGCAGCTGCTGTGGTGGAGGAAAACCTGGGTTTTCTTTGTTTGTGCAAGATCAACGCATGGGTGTCTGCACCAGAGCACACCCGTGTCTGCCTAGGTTTTCCTCCACCCTTCCCTCTCTGATTATCACGTGCCAGGGAGCAAAGAGGACAGAGACGACTACGAAATGTCTGACATCGGTGTCTAATCTCACTCTTCCCTCACCTTTGGGTTATGATACGCTCCATTTGGGGGTTTATGTGTGCTGGTTCCCAGGCAGCGCAGGCATCTGCCTGTGCCCTGCCTCTGCTCCACGCCACGTAGTCCCTTCAAAGCAGGATCCTGCACGCCAGGCCCCGCCAGCAGCACTGCGGGTGTTGTGTGGTGGACTGGGTCCAGCTTGGTTCCACCACGTGTGGCGTGCTCGTCCCCAGCCTGTCTGGGAAAGAGGTATTTCCACGCCAGCAGGTCAGGCACAGGCGAAACAGGCTGGTGACCACAGCTGAGCCTGTCCTTACAGCTCTGGGAGAGACCGCAGCTATTTTACTCCTTTTCTGGCTTATTTTGTTGTTTGTAGTCATCATTGGTATGAGAAACCAGGCTGTTGCCCATGCAGATCTACGTGCAGCCACGGCTCTCAAGGGAAAGGCTCTTGCCTTTCCGAGGCTGCTTTTTCCGAAGATGCCCAATATCTACTTTCAGGCAAAGGCAGCCCTGCCTCACTGCCCGTCTCCTGTCCCTCTTGCCGTCTTCCACACGCGCAGCATGGGGAAGGAGCCAGCCCGAACCTCTCTCGTAGGCACCGCTGGCGCCGCTCTCACAGAGCCCTGATTGTTTGAACCACTCAGTCCTCTCTAACCAAACGGCCTCTCCCTTCCTCTCCTGATATCCGTTGTTTTTCCAGATAAATCATCAAGTACAGCCTAGCACATTGCTCCGGTTGTGCGGATGGTTTGCTGGACCTCTGGCAAGCTGTGATATCATCTATTTGCTCAGTGGACGAGCAGTGGTTTGTGCCCCGATGTTATGGAGGCATGTCCAATTAGTGCTGGTGTGTTTGGGCACGCTAACATTAGTATATGACTTTTTTTCCAGGAAAACACCATCCCTGTCAGTAACCCCATTTGAGGACTGCACTCTTTAAAAGGCGACCAGGGCAAGTGCAGTGATGATCCTATGCTGAGCCAGGTGGGCGATGCACGGCTGGGGTGTGGGTAGCGCAAAGGACCAAACTCAGGGTCAGGATTTTGCCCAAGCGGCAGATTCCCCCAGGTCAGGCATGAGCAAAACAACCTGGCATTTTTTCTGTTGGACTGTGGGATCTATGGCACCATGAGACGACAACATCTGGAGGATTTCTGCCCCGGGCATTGGCACTGCCGAGTGGGGCTCCAGGTCAGCACAAGCCCCACTCCGCAGCAGAACTGTGGCACTACAGGAGCTGGGGCTTTGCATGGAGTCTGCTCTTGTCTTATGACTGCAAGAAACTTGCAGCGTATATCAAAGGGGAGGGATATTCATCGGCTACAACTTCAAATCCCTCCCACAGCAGCTTTCAAAGAGTTTTGTTTTCAAAGGCCTCTTCTGAGACTGAAATCTGCCCTGAGACTGAGCTTTCTGATCTGAGGGAGAGGGAGAAATGTGCTGGGAAACCCGCAGGCAGATTCTGATTTCACTTCAGTAAGGAAATAGCATTACTTGAACGAAGTCGGGACTTCTCCCTGGCACTTTCCATGCACAAAGTAATGTGCTTCTTTTCCTTTAACTTCAACCCCCCTCGCACATTCCTCCCGTCATCCTCTCCGCTGCCTCTGGTACAGGGTTGCCTTTGGAGCCCATTAAATGCTTTACAGCCCTTTCTCGCCTCGCCTCCGTCCTAGGCATTTTCCAGTCCAGCTGCCACCCCTGCATATAATGAAACCGTTTTTCCTCCTGTCCCCAGTGAGTTTTTACCAACGCAGCGTGCCATCAGCTGCTGACCTGGTTCTTCCTCTCCAAGTGTGAAATCCTCCTTCGGCTTCTCGGGTTTTGCTGCCTCCCTCCCTTGATCGGTCCTCTGCCTGTGATTTTGGGGAGTTTTCTGTGTGCTCCCCCTCTCTGTGTGCCCCATCTCGCAGCCTGCTCATCTCAAACACCGAGCTCACCCAGGGCTTGCAAGTGACTCAAAGATTCTGGGCTGTGGGTGTTAACTTGGGAATCGGAAACTCCGCCAGTCGTGGCAATCTTGGCATTGTTTTGTCCTGCACGTTTCTAACTTCTGGCATTTCTGGTGGATCCTGAAACTCCCCTCAAGCTTGCAGTATTTCACGCCTCTCCATTTTCCAGGCTCCTCTGCATCCCTCCTGCTTGGCCGATGACATCCCCTTTTGGGATCAAGAAATTGTCCTTTTGCCTCCAACCGTCCTGACGTGTTGGACACGACCTCCCGCCCCTCGAACGAGACAGAAACGTTGCGCTCACACAGCCCCAAACACACATGCTTCAGTCCTTGGCTTGTGCCCAGACACTGCATTTATCCTAATAGCGATAATAATGAAAAAAACCCCCAAGGATGGGATTGAATTCCCCTTCCCTAAGAGGAGCTTTCCTGAAGAACTGGATTTAGAGAAACGTGGCTCATTACTGGCTTTTGTTTGTATGAAGGCCCCTGAAGAAAGGCTGACCCACAAAGGGGCTCTGTGGGCTTGCAGAACCTGGCAGGACCGCAAGTTTCTGGGCTCTCTGATCCCGCGCTCTCCTTGCCAGAACCCCTTGGCTCCTCGTTTTCAAGGGTTTATGCTTGTGGAGGAGCAGCGGGCCCGGGGGAGCAGCCTGACACAGGGCCTTGCGCTGGGAGGTGCTCAGAGGCCTCCGACCGGTGGCACGACGGGCACGGACTGAAACACAGAAAATTCCACTAAAATGTGAAAAAAACCCACAAACTTCTCCACAGGGAAAGAGGTCAAACGCTGCACCGGCCACCCCCAAAGGGCGTGGGGGCCGCTGGAAGCCCCTACAAGCCGGGCGGCGGCTCCGGCCGGCCCTGACGGGGCTGCGCCTCCCGCCGCCGCCATTCCGCGCCTCTGCCCCGGGCGGGCGACAGCGGCGGGACGGCGGCGAGGCCCCCACCGGGACTACACTTCCCAGCAGGCCCCGCGCCTCGCGGCAGGTAGGCGGAGCGCGGCGGGAGGCGGCGCGGAGTCTGCCGGGAGTTGTAGTCGCGGCGTGGGGGCGGGGGGGGGGGGGGCGCGG